GATGTCTCTCTCTGAAGGCTGAAGCTCTTCTTGGAGGATTTCATGATGGCCTTGGGTACTAGTCCACCCCCCCTTTATATATAATTAGGAGGGAGTTGTCTCCTTCTCCTCTAAGGAGTTCTTTCTCCATTAGGAGATCAGTTCTCTAATAGATATTGCTTAGATTAGATCTAGTCTATCCTTATCTCTTAACGGTAATCCTAATCTTCTTTTATCTTTCTAGAAATACAACAGGAAATTGAATCTGATAGGACTCTTTGATGTTTCTTATTCTTGCATTTGTATTAGGCTTCTTTAACGAATTGAGCCGCCGTAAGGCTTCTCTGCGAAATGGGCTTCAGTTGCGAAATGGGCTTCAACTGCGAACTGGGCTTCTCTACAAATTTGCTTAGACTTCGGGCCCGATTTTGACCTCAATGCAGCTTGAATCTATCAAAACTTAAAACATAAGAGTTGTAGAATGTTTCCTTATCTTTCCAATGCATTATGAATCTTCTCAATCAGAGTCCGGATGGGAGAGTTATGCCCAGATTACCGCATTGCACCGAAATTGTGCAAAATTACTCGACTGGCCTTGTTTTTCACCTAACGCCTTCTTTCATGCCCTAAATTGAAATACAAGAATAGTGATTCCAATTAGGTATTAATTAAGTATAAAATACTGAATATTGAGGGATAAAAATATGATAATTTTTATTCTCATCAAATCCACCCACACTTAAACCATGTCCATCATCGGGCAAGACAAAATTCAAACAAAAATAAAACAAGAATAGACTAACTATCCTACCATTCTTTAAACTCAAGTCTCCTTCATCTTTTTCCACAAATATTCTAGGTTAAATATTGTGAACCATTAAATCAACACAACAAAGTCATACACGACTCATTCATTAGTCAATCCAATTTTTGCTATTGGAAACCATGTAGTAAATCAGGGAAAACCTTTTTATCTTCTCTCTCTTTTTATTTTCTTTTTCTCTCATCTGAAGAAGTGAGTGCATTTTATGCTCCATCTCACTTTTGGATTACTTGGTYAGTAGGTGCATTTTATGCTCCATCCTACTGTTTGAATTGCTAGCTAGTAGGTGCATTTTATGCTCCGTCCTACTATCAGATGACTTGGCTGATAGGTGCATTTTATGCTCCATCCTACCATCGGATGACTTGGCTGATAGGTGCATTTTATGCTCTATCCTACCATCGGATGACTTGGCTGGTAGGTGCATTTTATGCTCCATCCTACCAATTGTGGAAATGGTGAAGAAATTACCCTAAACCCGAGTTTAGGACTAGCTTAACTGAAATGACTTCAGATAAGTCATGTACTCCTTAATTGTACCTCATTACTAGGTCCACAAGAAGTTTCCCAAAATATTGTTTCAATTGATTTCAAAAGAGTTGAGGGTTTGATATTTTTCATTATTATTATTACTTTTTTTTGAACTGAAATAAAATCCTATACTCTCCCCCCCACCCCCACACTTAGTCTACGTATTGTCTTCAATGTAAGGTAAAAAGAAAAGGTGGAAATAACTTAACTATAAATGCAAAAAAAAACAAGAAAAAAAAAAAGAAAAACAAACTTCCCTGTTTTTAATCATAAACCAGATCCTCCAAGTCTTGTAGTTGCAACTTCTGATGCCTTCCCATTTCATCTATCATGGGTGGGTTCAAATCTGGAATAGGGGCCTGCAAAACAGAGGGTATAGGTTTCTTGTCAGGAATCAACAACATAATATAAGGAGCATTACCTGACTGTTGTAACTCTGGAGAAATTGCTTGCAATTTCTTGTGCTGGATCCTTGCATTTAGGAGGTAATTCCTTTTGGAGGATTGCTGAAACATTTTCCCCTATGTGGACTTTCTCATTACCTTTCAACTTCTTTTTAGTGGTGCACAACTCCTTGAGGAATTTAGCATAGCGGGGTACTTGCTTCATTGCATCAAGGAGGGGGATATTTACCTCAACTTTACAGAATGTCTCGAGAATATCCTTTTCTTGATC